TCTAGTCAGGATGATTTCTATCATAACTTGGCATGGGAATTTTGCTTTCTTAAGTTTGCTTAAGAAATGTGTGTGAGGAGATGTGAGACAACCATGACAGGTTCTCTGTGATGCTGATTCCCAGGAACCAGTGCGCTGACAATAATACATTCTGTAGACGATAGGCGATAGATAGACTGAAGATAATTTTTTAATCCTTTTAATATTTAACATTTCTTATTTAAATAGGTTACTGACTTCCTAAAATGTTTTCTTCCACTGTGATTTTGATAATAGCATGTGATCGGAGTTGACCATATGCTCTGATCCATTTAGATTCAATAGGATTACTTATGTTGACACATATGGAATGATCATTACTTATAAATGAATCATTCAGATTCCAGACGATTGTGCTCTCTGGTTCAGATGGGTACACAAGCATGGCAAACTGTAAGCGCTGTCCTCTATATTATGCTGTAGTGAAGGATAGGTGTGGTGGCTCTGTCCTCTCTCTCTGTGGCTGCGGCTGATAGTACTGCTGCAGGAGGAAGGCTGACTGCTCGCCCTTACATAACCACATGTACAAATTCACCCAGAGAGAGGAGGGTGGGGGTGGCAGGGTGAGACGGCTTAGAGAGTGAGAGACTGAGGGAGAGAGATCAAAAAGACTCTTGGGGAAAGGGAGATAGAGAGAGAGAGAGAGAAAGAATGGAAGCATGTAAGAATCCAAAATAAATGACAACTTTCATCCTCCATGTATTTTGGTCTACTGCTGTTTTAGTATGTGGTGTAAATGCTGACAGAGATTTCATGAATTAAGACATTTTTGTCTTCAATAGGTTTTCCATTAAAGATCAATGTAATTCTGAAAGAGTTAAAAGGGTAACTCCACACAAATAACACAGGGCCACTGCTGCACTGCACTGTTTTGTCGACACATCCCAGTGTGGCAGCAGGTGTTGTCCATTGTTGCTTGTTTTATCCTGTATAGCATGTCTCAGTTGAAGACAACTGATTCACCATCCAGGATGCATTATGGAGTCTCGACAAAAAGAAGCTGTGTTAACATGCTGAAGGAAATTAGGATAAAGTTTAGTCAGTTCACCCCTAAATATTAAGGGCCATGGGCGTGATTCCAAGTTAAACATACCCCGTGGAGTTGTCTTGTAAAGAAACAAAAGCTATATTTACATTCAGGGTTACATTTGTAATTATTTTTTAAATCCTGCGTTGTTTACATATTTTTACTAGCTTGCAGACTTGTTTGTCCCTCCCCTTGTACATCCCAACGTTAACATTTTCTTCCTGTCTTCTCCCGACAGTTGATGTATGTTCTTTTGACCATGTCAACAATATTTCCCCAATGAGTTTTATCTTCCTAGACTTAACCAGAAGTGGCAGATCACAAAATACAAAACATTAAGTCTTGGAAGATATTAATAGATGCCCTATTTTGTAGATTATGTATGAGGACTGTCAAACCGCTGTCAAAGGCAAAACACCTGCCATAACATCACTGATGTATGCTCTCTGTCTTGTATGATTCAGTGTGGATTTCCCTGTAATAACTCTACTGTTTGAGGTGGACACCTATCTTTGCACTGAGGATATCCGCCCACTAGTCAACAAACACTGAGTGCTACTGTTTTAATGAGCTTACTTGGCAACTATTTTCATATCATCCCAGGCTCCTGACACTAAAAACTATATAATTGTATTTCAAGGTGACAGAAGCCTGGGAATTGAATTATCAACATTTGAGGCTTGTAAGGGGTTATCGGGAAGAGCAGTGCTCTCCCCTCTCTCAGCTACTATATAACAAGGCACTCAACCAGTCCAGTAGAGCTGCTCAGTGGCCACTTGTAAGAGACTGTGGTTGTATTAGGAAGCTTCCAAGAGGGAATGTGTATGAGTGATAAACAAATGTTGCATCATTTCCATGTGTCAGAATGTATCATCATCCACACTTTACATTGTCATTTTAGTAATTTAGCTGACACTGTTATTCAGAGTGACATGTGAGTGCAACAGTAGAATGAGCTTTGATTACCACATCTCTGAAGATTACAGGAAACCAAAAGCAAAGATTGAAAGAGTCAGTGAGTTAATGTATTTCAGAAAACAAATATAATAAGAAAAGCAAATGGTCATATTTACATTTATGGACCTGACAAAGCAATGTCAAATCAGACTGTACGTATCTATCCACCATCCACACCAGAAATGGTCTAAGGGTGGCCACACTCTATACTATCTTAAATACAACCTGTATAGTCAATAAATGTCATGAAAAACAAACACAACAATGCACAATCCTACTTAACAATTACTTTTTGCGTTGCCAAAGCCTGATATATCTCATCTCCCTCTCCCTCTGTACTATAGAGCTCCATTGTGGTCCAAAATACACTGCCTCTTTGCCTTGAACATGGGTACTACTTTATTTTTAAACAATCAATTGGTGCTGTAAATCACAACAGTGCACCAAGCATGTTTGGTATTAATCCTCTGCAGAAAACAGTTCCCAACAAATACCCTGTGTACTCCTTTATAAGTAAGTACAATGGCCAACTAAGACATTTCTTGAAAATAAAACTAAAAAGTTTGTGTATTCAGTAGATATGAATGGTGCATGCAACAATTGGGGTAGTCTACAACCAGTTTGCAACATGTTGTCTAGTGTATTTACTCAGTCGTAACGTGGTTTATGCATCTTCCTGATCTGATCTGAAAATCTGTGCAAGTTGGTGCAAACAATATTTATGCGTGGTTTGTCCAGCCTTTGAAGGATTCAGCTATTCTTCAGGTTTATCCGGAGCTTGAGTGCACCTCACACAAGTACACAGATATTTCAAATGGTTGCCATGGCAATGCACAGCGGGAAAGGAAGGGATGCAGGATCAGTGGTTCATCCGGACAAAATACAGCAAATTCAAAATGAATAGCAGCTTCTGTCTTCCACTCCACCAAAACTGGCGACTGCTGGTTCAGTGGCCACAAGGGTGTAAAGGATCCCAGACACCAACTGATCAATGTTTTATCTCTGTTGGGGATTATTTATCTGAATGGGTAAATTTTTGGCATGGGTGCTGCTTCCACCTTCAGCCAAAAAAGTGGCTGTATGTATACTGTCCTCTAAAAAGGACCCACTCAGAAAGTCCTTAAGGACCTTTAGGAAGCCTCACACCTCACATAGAAACCCAACACAGTTAGAAATGTATGAAACCTAGGCCCAACAAATTACTGCAGGTCATTATTTATTGTAACTTGTTGCAAAAACTGTCACACAGAGATCATTTTGAGGCTTTGCTGCCTTTTTCTTAAACCAAACTTGCTTAAAACTTTCAGAAACTTTCTAAAAGGCATTTAAAATGGATTCTGACACCAACTTTGGTTCCCCCTCTGTCCTGTTCCCCATCATCCCCTCGCTCCACCCCATGGCCTCCATCCACCAGCTGTCAGACAGGCGTGCAGGCCTCGGTGGAGATGGACAGACAGATGGATGGAAAGCAAGAGGGAGGAGGCAAGGGATGGATGGAAGGAAGGAGGAGAGGGAGAGGTGTGACCCACATAGCAGAGCCTGGAGTATTTATAGAAGAAAGTGTCCTAATTGGCAAGCCGCTGGGAGAGCAACAGCACGGCACTGGTACCCTACTCCTTGTCCTTCACCTCCTTAACCTTCGCTTCTCCTTGTCTTTCGCCTTCTTCTGCCACCTCATCATTCTTTTGTCCTCTTTCACCTCCCAGAATTGTCTTGTTTGACTTCATTGCTCTTTATGCTGCCTTTCCTTCATTCTTTTCCACATCAGTGACCTCTTCCTCGTCCTGTGACTTCCACCTGGTACCCCATCTCCTCTTTTGGGGACCTCCACCTTTATACTCTTCTCTCTCATCTTTACACTTTGTCTTCACACCCTCTCTTCCACCTCCAACTTCTCTTCCCAGCCCTCCTGCCTTCTTTCCTTCTTGTTCAATCTTCTCTCTCTCTCTCTTTCCTTCTCACATTAAGCTTAACTGATTTCTGGTGGCAGCACTGATACTGACATATTTTTTTATTTGTGATACCTAGCGCCTTTTAAATGCTAACAGTAATGACTATGAATGTGTCAGAACAACACTTGATAATTTAGTTAATTTATTTAAACACAATATAACATCACACAAGTCTCATTGTTCAAAACACGGAACAGTTACTTGTAAATTAACTTGCTACAAACTCATCCCTCTTCCTCCATTTTATGCCTTTCCTGTCCCTGCCTGACCCTGCTGTGTCTTCATCCCTGGAGTCATAGTCCTGATCGGAGCCGCTGTAAATCAGCTGGCCTTCCTCAGTCTCGCAGGCGATGAGTTGGGTTCTGTTGCACACTCCACCCGCTCCGGTTCTGGCGCTCATTCAGGCCCGCAGCCTGACAGTATTCCCCACTCCTATGCTAGTATTGTTTAAACTAGAGTCAAGGTAGAGTCAACTAATAGGACAACTATGTAGCTTATGACAGCTAGTTAGTACAGTTAGCATATGCAAAAGTGCATCGGTAAGTGACTTCCTGTGTTACAAGAAAAAAGGTCAGTGTTGCACCTATCCCACAATACTTTTGTCCCGGCGAAAAAGCGCAGCTCCCGAATGGAGTTTGTTTTTGTTTTGCGACTATCCAATTTTTGAAAAGTGGGTCAACTAAGACTCTTCTCATCCATCTCAACGGTTACGTCAACTATTAGGTGACTGCCCTAATGATATGGCAGTGCTGTTCAGGTACTGTATGACTTAAAAGTGTTTTTATGATTTAAAAAAAAAAAAAGTATGGGGCACTGCATACTTAGAGTAATATTAATATTTTGATGTGATCAATAAAAAGCGGGATTTTAAGAACAAGTACAAGGTAGTGAAACATAAAAAAATTAATGATAATAAGGGAAAGAAATGTCAAATGCAAAAATGGATGAAAACAAAAATAAACAATAATTCAATAAATTCTGAGAACACAGATGGATGGATGGAAGGATAGAAGGAAAAGACTCACGTAGGAAGTACTCTGAAGCATCCGCCTCATAGTCAGCATCCTCTGGGAAGTGATCTATCTGCTTACACATGCCTTTAAAAGAACCTGTGTGAGAGAGATGAATAAAGAGAACAAATATGAATACAATCTGAAGTCAAAGCAGTTAAATTAATTGATAGGACGGGAAAATGGAACAGTTTAAAAGAAAAAAACCCCAATAATTCATATGTAAATGTGTGCTTGTGTGTGTCTCACACGTTCCTTGCCCAGTAAAATGTCCATCAGCTCATCAGTTTCATTGCAGTAAAAATAAGATAATGACAGATGAAAGAAAGAAAAGACAAACAGGCGGAAGGTAATTTGAGAAAGGAGCCAAAAGACAGGTGAAGGGGGAAGAATAGAGGGAGAAAAGTGGGAGCGGAACAAAGGAAAGACTTAAAGGGAAGGTGAAGGAGAAATGGAAAGAGGAGAAGAGGCTTGGATGCAACATTTGAGACAAAGGAAACAAGAAAAGGAAGACAGGTTTGTCAACAGCTTTGAAGGAAACACATCACAGGACAGAAAGTGAGACAGGCAGAAGAGGAATAAGACAGGAGGAGTTTAATCTAAACGCCTCAACAGAGCAGGCGGGAGGGTGAGGAGGAGGCAGGAGGAGAGAGTGAACAAAATGCAAATGAAAGAGAGGAAGAAAGGAGAGCTGATAGTGCCGCTCATTAAAAAGAATTGTGTGTTCGTGTGTGTGTGTGTGTGTGTGTGTGTGTTTAGCTTGGTTCGGCTCCAGTGGTAATTGTATGCCCTCCCAAACCACTGCAATTAAATGGGCCCTTGTTAATTGGCGATTGAAGGACGAAAGACTAGCGCCCGGCTTTCAAATGGGCATCGGTTACACACACACTTGCACAATATGTTTCACACTTACAGGCACACACACACTCATATACTGTAGCATCAGCCCTATTGTCAAGAGCCTTGCTGGCTGTCTTTCTCCCTCATCACAGTGAGAGCACTTGCGGCTGAGTTTTCAGATATTTCGCATTTTCATCATGACCACAGAGAAAAAAAGAACAATTCTACACCAAAGCTGGAAACATAAAAGTGAAAAAAAGAGAAAAGAAATGATGACAGAACTCTACCACAAGCCTGTTTCATATTTACATATCTTTAATACACCTCAGAAAACACTCAGGCGAACAAAGTGTTTTTCATCAGGTAGACTTTGATAGATACATTAAAGATATTTCACCAGGAAGCGGCTCGGGACCCTTTCAGCAAAATGCTTTCATCATTTCATAATTTCGGTGTGAACTGTGTGTTGAAATTCTGTTCCGTTCCTGAGAGGACTGTGATGAGCAGCCGCACTGCGTGTTTCAGGAGGAAATAGCCTAACAGTCACATTGTCTCCTGTCTCAGTTACTTTCTTATTGTACCTATTTGTAGTGCTTGAACCATGCTGTGTATACTCAAGAGGCTTTTAGTCAAGTATAGAAATAAAGTGTTGATGAGGCCTCTCAGGTGATGTAGTTTGCCCTCCAGTGGACATGAAGGAGGTCTCAGCATTTCTAAAAGACTGAGTCGTCAGAATCAAAAACATTACATCATTACTTGTTCTGTTGGAGATTTATTACTGATAGATCTTATTAGCTTTGTTTTGAGATGCCATCTATAAATAACAGTATATTCCCAGTTGTTCCACTCAACTCCTTACTGCAACTTTAGCCCAACATAAGTTCCTATTCAAAGGCCACCTTTAGACTTTGTAACAACATTGATCATGTAGCTGTATTGCATGTAACATTGTGTTAAAAGGGTAAAATGAAACTGGGTTGCAATAAGCAAGCTTGGACTATAGTGCTGAAAATGTCTTTACATGAATATATGAACGGGTAAAGTAGACACTTCTAACATACGGGCACTCTGGGAAAGAGACATGGGCATTCAAATCTCTGAAGAACAATATACAATAGTCAGATGCAGAGACAGAGATGCTTCATCAACGTTATGCATTGCCTCATGCAAGATCCTACACAGACTACACTATTCAAAGGCAGTACTGCACAGGTTATTCTCCTCTGTTTCACCTATATGTGATAAATGTGAGGCTGGTGAGGCTACTATTGCCCACAGCGTTATGCATTGTCCCAAAATGGACAATTTCTGGATTACTGTTTTCAATATTATTTCCAAAATACTTACACGTCAAGTAAAACCAGACACTCAACTGCTAGGCTATAAGAAAGTATACCTAGTTACCTCTGCATAATTTTCTATTTCTTTATGATTGTAACACTGCTTTGTGTTATTATCTGCTACCCATTCTTACAAAAAAACAAACAAGAAAAACAATGGTGCATGTATCTTATTATTGTCAACTCATTCTTTAAACACCTCAATAAAATATCTAAACTAAAGGGGACTTTAATGCTTCACCTGATGATGTTAGCATGTGCTAAGCAACATCAACGGAAGCTTTACTTTTCCTGTTTTCATAGTCTTTTATCAAGTAAAAGAGTCATTTGTGGCGCCCCCTGGGGTCTTAAAGATACAGTATAAAGGTAAATACAGAACTATATAGAGATAATATTAACCTTTGTGGCTTTCTTAAAGTGTGGACATTTGAACTGACTATAGTTTAGACATCACAACTCATTAGACGAAGTGTGCTTTGGATCAGTCTGCTGCTGACAGTCAGGAAATAAGATCAGAATTAAAAATATGTGCCTTCCAATCAAGCTGTGGCCTAATGTCCCCAGTAAGATTATTTCAAACATTTTTACAACTGAAACTGGGTCAATGACAAATATGAGCAGGAGAAAAAAACAACAGAAATACTGGCCAAAAACAGTAAACAGAAACACAGTGTGCTGTGCAGCATTTATAATCCAGTTCATCCACGTTTTCATTGCAGAGCCACGATTCAGCATGTCTTCTTTTAAAATGTTGTTGATTTAAATGAAGTAGGACAATTGTTTATTCATTGATGTCCACTCCAGTTTTGTACCGCCATGTGTAAACATTACTGTTAAGCATAGTATGCAGTCCACTAGTAGTTTTTGATCGTCAAGACTAAAGAAATTCTGTGTATGTTGGAGGAGTCTGTCACTGGTGTGTCTCTGTAGGTTTTTACTCAGTCTTCAGGTCTGTGAACGAGTTAAAATGGTAACTGCTTACTACAAGCAGCATGTCTAAGCAGAGTCATCCTACCTGCTCAGACCATTCATTTTTACCATTCCTGTATGGATCTGTTCACATGATTCCTGTTATTTTCTCAACCATCTAACTTGCATGTAGCTTCACTATTATAAAACATTCAAAATGGTGTCTGTTGTGGTTGCTAGGAGATGTGCAAAGTAGAAGGCAGAGTAAAAAACACTGTTATACCATATCTCCCTCAACTTTAATAATAATACTTCTTTGTATCAGTGTTTGGTTTTCAGTTTTAATTTATTGCTGTCTCCTCATGAAGATCATACATTATGTCAAATACATCTATTCACACACTCACTGCTGGGAAGAATCTCCATCATCTCCACTCTCTTTCCTCAATCACTGCTCTTTCTCTCTCTCTTTCTCTCCCTTTCACACTCTCCCTCACTCCCTCCAACACATGCCCACCCACGCTGCAGCACAAGCACATGTAATCTGGAATTGCATTTTCCCTTCCTTCTCTCCTCTATCGCTCTCTCACACAACCCTCTCTCTCTCTCTCTTCTATCTGTCTCTCACATGCATACATGTGCGTGTACCCCGAGGACCAGATTCCCAATTGAACTGAGCTGGCAGCTCAGCCCTCCTCTCCCCCTCTCTCTCTTTCTTTATTCTTTCTGCAATTCAAATCAAGAGCACACTTTATTGTCTCGACAGGGATGAAACCTGTGCAGCCCGACCAGAGCATTATGTCATCATCTAAGATTCACTGATGAGACTTTAACAGATGGCCGGAAACCAACACACATCAAATGGATCTAAAATTTAAGCATGAGTCTCAAAAAGCCTCAGTCATGAGTATTTTACATACACTTCTGGTTACCCAAGCACTGTACACATATACTGTTCGAATATGTTACATGTTTACCGAAGAACAAATAGTCTTACTACTCTGTCTTGCCATTAGATGAGTCAATCTGCTGCTCATGTCTGTGTTCAGATTTTCTGAATACCAGACCAGATTTGTGAGGTATGAGGTTTACTCATATCTGTCATAAAATCCTAACAGAACTAGCAAAATTGTCTTTATACTACGATTCAGATAACGATATAGTTAGCTGTCCGCACTGAAATGCATATAGAAACCTGTTAAATTTCATTAATTTTTTTTGTTGGTCTACAACAAAAATGCATATTTGCCTCATTGATGTCATATTTTAACTCTTTTTTAGTCTTTTTTTATTTTCTACTAAACTACACTGATGACAGTGCAGGTTACTTTAGTTTATTTGACAAAATATATTTAATAGTACTAAAGTAGTAAAAAAAACAGCATATAAGACACTGACGGGGATAACTGACGACAAACTTCAGGACTTATTTCTATCATAGTTGATGTTCCATCAACTTACAATTCTATATACCAATAAAATAATCATTTATATATGTGTCTGTGTTTATATTTTCAGAGAGTTCAGACCCAAAGTCATGAGACTACGTTTTCTGCTATAAATTTTAGACAATTTCACCATTACCAAAACCCGATCCAAAAGATCTAAGCTAATACATCCAGTCTCTGGACATATGTACCAAAATTCATCTAAATTATGCCTAAAGAAGAATGCATGTTACTAGAAGTTTGAAGCCTGAAATCGGATCCCTTTTTAAAAAGCCTGTATAGATAAAGACTAAAGCAGAACATGAAATAAAGTCTTTCTTGCTTACCCACCAATTAATTTAGAACAACTTTCTTTAATTCACTATTCCACTAGTTCAACTACTTATTCTAACTATTCCAGTCTAATTACTGTCAATTGTTTCATTGTTGATTTTAAATACAGTAAAGGACAGATGTGAACAAGACAAATCTGCAGGCAACTATCATTCACTTATAAACTTTATACACTGGAGTTGCACAGCTTTTCTGTGTTGTGATTTCATTCATAAAAGTCATG